TTCAGATATGTGTGTTTAGGCGCATACATTAAATAATCCATTCAGAACACTTACATACAAATGACTAGCCTGCCTTCTCTATAAGTGGTTTCACTGATGATTCTCTTAGTTTTAACTACTATTGTAGCCTTATTCTTCTTTCATTGTCAATATCTAAACTTTCTGTATTTATAAGTAAATGATGACTTCAAAAGTGCTGCACCATTCATGTTATTGGATGTTCATTGCAGCTTTTCTGTAAGGTCTCTTTTTCTTTTACTCCACCTTTTTTGAAGTCTTAAACTTGCTTTATTGCAGTTTTGAAAGGTTTTCTGATAAACTGTGTTTATACTGGTTTTGTTGTTATTACTTCTATCAGGACACATTCAATGAAAATGTAACCAGTTGTTACAGAATTTAAATTAAGAACTCTGGTTTGGTTTTGAGAGGTGTTACATTTTATCAAATGATTTGCTGAATGTGCCTTCTGTTGCAAATGTCTTCATGTGATATCATGAAAGATTTCAGTTGGAAACTGTTGTGTTGTCTTTAATCCACATTGCTGTAGAATGAGACAATTTTTTTTTAAACACTCCTACCAATGTTCTTAAACTGTATGAATAAACAATAGACAAACATGGAACAACAGATTTTAAAATAGAATCTATTTCTTTCTACTTTGGTATAAAATTATCATTTGTTTTGACAGTGGAATTTATGAACTGATGTTAACCAGACTTTGTGGAAGCTTGAGTTGTTTTATTTCATTTATGCCTAAAAAGCATTTAATACTTAATTTGGTAAAAAATCAAAGTAAAAAAGTATTTCTTTTTTAATCATAAAGCTTAAAACCTTAAAAAAGTCGTATATATAATTTTTAAACTTTTTATAAAAGCCTTATTGGAAAAAAGCAATAAGAATAGAAGTTGAGGTTTATCAGGTTATTTGGTGATTATTATAATTTAGGTTTCTTTTTTCACTTGCTCTAGTAACATAAGTTGATAGACAGTACCTAGAAATCTTGTTAAATAGTTCCCCAGTGGCACAGCGGTATGTCTGTGGACCTACAACACTAGAAACCAGGCCTTGATACCCATGGTAGGCAGAGCACAGATAGCCCATTGTATAGCTTTGTGCTTAACTTCAAACAACGACAACTTGTTTGATAATGACACCAAAAACTCATTAGGATACTAATAGCAGTTTAGAGCTCGAGTGTCTCTGAAAAGTAAATACATTTTCCATAAAGTAATTTATTAAATCTACAGTACTGTTCAAGCTAGGACTTTTTGTTCAATAAAACTATAAAATAAAGTGGGCCTAAGATGGTATCTAAAAAAACAACAAAGTTGCATAAATTCCCTATATTTTAGGTTTTACAATAGCACCATGTTTGCATGCAAGATTTGCAGTGTTTTAAAAAATATATTTTCTGTATTTGATTGTGTTCCAAGGTAATGGTGCACATTAAAGGAGTAATAGTGTAGGCTTATCTTTCTCCACACTAAATGTGTGGAGTCCTTGCCATTGCACTTGTATTGTTGGACATGCCAAGGTAGTGTGGGCATCCTGTATTTGATCCCAAGATGACACCTTTACCATTAGGTTACTAAGCTATGTATGTTTCCTTTGTTTTTTGAAACTAGGGAAGCTATTGTATCTGTTTCCTCAGAATCCTTTATGGTGTAGATAAAATTTTATGAGGGGGAGATATATTCATCATTTCTTACTTTATTCTGGTCTGTAGTTCTCTTGATTTTTCTGTTTGATGCAATAATCTAAGAAAGTTATTAGGTTATGGTCCCATTTCGTATTTAAGATTTAATTCATTTTGATATTTTAAGAATTAACATTGTTAGTTAATTTGTGATACAACGCATCAGGAAATAGTTGAATAAATAGTTAGATACTTTCACGGTGTTCATAGTTTACAAGCTTTCATTAACATGATACCTTCACTGAACACAAAGCCATCATAACTCTGGTTGTAATTTAATTTGGAAGTTATATTGTATTGTTAAAGTGATCTTAATATTTTGTCATTTATATATATATATATATAAATATACCGTATTTTTCGGTGTATAAGACATACCTTCGGTGTATAGGACGCAAGCAGATTTTGACATCAAATTTTGGGGTAAAAAAGTGTGAATAATATATATGTATATATACGATATACACAAGACAACAATATACACAAGCCATGTGTAAATATATTTAAATAGGCATGCATAGTTTAGTTCAATTGAATGTGTTACTTATAACAATAGGAGTTTTATTTTTCTTTTAAAAACATAAATATTTATAATGCTCCCTAAATAATAAAAAAATAAATTACAGTGAAAGCAATGAAGATTTTGTAGGTTTTGAACCAAACTAAATAACATTAAACCTTTTTGTTTTGATTTAAGGTATTTTCTTATTTTGATGTTTTGAGCTCTTTTGTGTTTAGAAAAATATTTACTAATTTTTAAAGTATCAAATTGAATTTTTGTTCAATAAAAATTTTTCAAATGCGACTGTAGCTTCCCTCCCCCCCAAAAAAAACTTTGTCTTCAAAATAAGGATGCGGATTATACACCGGTGCGTCTTATATTCCGAAAAATACGGTAACTGTTTTTCTAGTTGAAGCCAGATCCTTGATCTTCGTAAATGAGCATACTGTTATTCCTGTTGGAGTAAGGTGTTTTCACAGTCACCAAAACAGAAAATATTTTTCTATAGACTCCATTAAATTGACTATACTTCATCGTATATATCATACATACTTCAAGATATCAAGAACTTACTGGACAGTACTGAAAAACTGCATAAAAATTGGCAGAGATAGACTTTGATCAATCACACAAACTCATATATGAGGAGTATTATAGTTTCACATAATTACAAGATCTTAGTTTGATGACTTAGTATTCAAGTTTTCATCTCTGAGATCATGTGCGATCTGTGTGGATATGCATAGCTGTCCTATTGGTTAAGTTTCACACTGGCTGATCAAATAGGATTGCGTTAATTATGTGGGGCTTAAAGAATTATTTTGCCATACAGAGAACAGTCCACTTAACTCGTGCAGCTTTGGTCAGTAATTGAGTTCCACTTTGTTTATGATTTGGGTATATTAGCCCTCAAGAAATAATTGATACCCACATTTTCTTCTATCAGAGGAACTGATGGCTGTTGGAAAAGGTGATATGGCATTCCTAGTTCTAAATTAAACTTAAGTCTACACTGAGTGGTCACAAGTAAATAGACACCTAATTTTTCGTCATTTAACTGAGTTATGCTAACTAATTTGTGTTCACAGAGCTCTATATAAATGAAAATGGTCCGCACACTAATTATCTTGTGGTACAACATGCCTAGAACTCAAGGTTCTCTCGAATTGTCAGATTTTGTTAGAGGAAGGATAGTTGGTCAAGCAGATGCTGGAATAAGTCAGCGGCAAATTTCGCAGAATTTGGGAATCCCACTTTCGACAGTCAACAGAATCATCGTGCAGTTCAGGAAACACAGCAAGGAAACAACTGAGCAGCGTCCGGGTCATCCTGGTCCATCAGAGAGG